TTTCGTGGCGGAGATAGAGCGCCTGTCCGAGCGCCATGCGGGCGTTTGGAAGCAGCAGGTTCGCACAGATGACCCGTCGGAGGCCTGGCAGTCGTTGGTGGAGGACGTTCGAGCGGCAGCACACGAAGCCTGTGAGTTACCCGCTGCAGCTGGTCCTTCTCGCACTTACAGGGAGCTTCGTGACACCTTGTTGGCTAAGAGGCGGACTTCGGGACGGCGATGCTTCAGCGAGGAGGGTCGGCTGGCTGCGCGCTTGTGAGCGCGAAATCAGGCGAACGAGAATGATATTGGATGCAGAACATGTCGAGTCTCTCCTACGTGAAGCTGTTCGTGCATCCGAGAGGGGTCACACCAACACCGTGTGGCAGCTCGCCTATCAGATTGGTGCCAGGTACCATGGTGTCCGCCGTCGTCGCTTCAACACCTTGCCGCGCTACCAGCCTACGATTGATGAGTGGACAGAGACGATGCAGGCCCCTGCAGCCGCTGGTGGTTTCTCTGCAGCGCAGGTCCCTGAGCCCGAGTTCCCCGCGGAGGTGGCGTTGGCCCTTCGTGCCCAGGATGACCCTGATGGCGAGTGGAAGGCTGTTCGAGGCAATCCTGGCGATGCAGCTTATGAGGGCTGGACCTACGCCCTCCAGGCTCTGAAGCGAGCAGCGCGGCGCCGCTTCGCGCCGACCCACTCAGCCCCCGCTGAGGTATGGCTCGCTTTGTTGCAGGCAGCGACCCGAGAGCACCGTGGCGAAGGTCAGGTCCTTGATGATGAGGGTCGTCCTGGTCCTCATCGCAGACAGCCTCGCCATGTTCCTTGTCCGCGAGTTTGTAGGCTGCTTGGCCTTTTTCGACAGATTCGCCTGTCTTGCCGCACGCCCGCCTGGCGGCACTGGTCCAGGACGTTCCAGTTGGACAAAGGGAATGATAAGAGGAGTACGAAGGCGATGAGGCTGATTCATTGTTTCTGCCCTTTTGGCAAGGCCTGGTACCGCGGGCTTTTCACGAGATTTCGCCAGCCCCCCCTGCCCTACCACGCGCACGGGTACGCCAAGAACAGGTCCAGACAAGGGGCCCAACTGGTTTCTCGGGCGCACTCCTGGCGCCTCAAGAAGCTCCGAATTAGCCACCTCCAGCTTAAAAAGGACATGAGTAACGCTTTCCCGAGCACGAATCACGAGACCCTCGAGCAAGTTGTAGGAGAAAGCATCCCCGACATTCAGGCCCAGGGCTACTTTCTCCAGGGGCACAAGGAGGCGGTCATGGAAATCCGATCTGGCACCGAATAGGCTTTCTATGTACCCAGGCACGGCGCTGGCATGGGGGACGGCAATGCATGTGAGTTGTTTGTGCGTTCTTTCGTCCGCCCGCTCGAGTCTTGGAACAGCGAGCTGCGAGACAATGCCGACACCTCGCTCGAGACGGTGCGAGGCGAAGTGCCGTTGCTAGAGGCTACGACGCTGATATCTTGCCCCGTGTCCTCGTCCCTTGTCGACCTCTCCCTCCGTGACTGCGCCGATGACGTGTCGCAGACGCTCCCCTTGCCCGGTTGCAATCCTTTTCGCGCTGCGAGCTTCGCCAAGGCATCTTCAGATCTACTCGCTCGCAAGCTTCTGGAGCAAGGGGGGTACACCCAGAACGCTGATAAGGAATCTGTCCTCCCCGTGTTTGTTGGCCCAGGTGGCTACACCGCCACCGGGGCCGTTCTCTCGGGCCAGGTGCAGTTCCCAGGAATCCCGCAACCTCAAGCTGTGCATCTGGGAGGGGTGGGGCAGTTGACAGGAGGGGCTGGTGCGGAAGTACGAGCAAGAGTGGATGCCACACGTTCTGCCAGGTGCAAGCTCGGTAGGTTTTGGAATCAGCACCTGTCGGTGCGACTGGAACGCATGGCCTTCCTCGGGGTGGTCCACGGCGCGGCCTACGCGGGCCTGGAGACGCACATCCTGTCGAAACGAGATTTCGCCAAGCTCGACTCGGTCATCCTGGGGTTCGCCAAGGTCGTTCTCCGTGGGGTCGCTCGCTTCTCGACGATCGATGGCCAGGGGAAAGTTTTGACCCCCCCTGCGTGGAAGCTACACAAAATGCGACGCATAGCGGACACGCGCACGGAGTTGCTGGTGCGCAGGATCCGCTACTGGCAGCAGTTGGCCAAGAGCCCGAGCGACTCTGTACAGGCCGTCGCCGTTCTCTTCGGCAATTTCTTGTCGCTGGAGGACGCCCCAGTGTTCGATGACGCAGGCTTGGCCAGAGAAAAGTCCAACCCGCGGGCGGTGCAGCTCCAAAACGATGCGCTCACATTGAGACTCACACCAAAAGGAAAATATTTCTGGGATCGAGGGTACAGCATCAAAGACATTTTCTCGGACTACCATATCGGACTGGCGTTTGCAAACTTGGACCTCCAGGGCCTTAGCAAGGAGCATTGGAATCAGCAGTCGCGTTCACATCTACGGCCTCCTCGAGCCCCCGTGGACCCTGACATACCTGAGCCTCCAGAGCCTCCACTTCATGAGTACGTTTGTGAACTTCCAGTGGGTGATGGGGAACCTTGTAACCGCGTCTTTACCACTCGAGCGGCCCTGAGAGCACACCAATGTCACCATCCCGAGCATCGTTGTCGCGTTCCCCTCTATCAGCTAGTCGTGACAAACCAATGCTTTTACTGCTCCTTGTCCTTCTCCTCCGTGGTCCTTGCGAAGAGACACGTAATGCAGTCCCTCAAGCTCAAGAGCTGCCTCGCAGACTACAGCCCCTTCGCTCCTGTCGTTCTGAACCCAGGGACCCTCTTCTGCCCCGTGTTTGTGGACCTCGAGAGTGCCCATCCGCTCCATCGTGAGAGACTGATCCGTAATGGAGTTGACCAGGCTCAAGGCGAGTTTCTCACGCTGTTCGCTCTGCAGGAGCACATCCGCATCGCGCGCGCTCCCCCAGCACCCGACATTTGGGTTGATGTCCACACTCGCGGAGAGAGCGCTGAGCATTGGGACAGGGCAGCGGCAGCAGGAGTTGCGAGGAGGGGGCGCCCGCGGAGGAGATCGGACCCGCAGCAACGAGCGCGGCGCTCCTCGCCGCCAGCGCGCCAGCAATGCGCACCGCCACCGGCAGGCGGCGCACGGCAGCAGAACACAGCGTGGGAGGCCACCGACACCCACTTCGGGCTCGCCCAGCGCGACGTCGACCAGCTGACGAGGATGCCCCTCGATTGGGTACAGGCGCCGGTGCCAGTGCTGGCTCGCGTTGCCCTGCGCCACGAGGCAGCCATCAATCACCTGGAGGCGGTGGCTTACAGGCACGTGCAGATGCCCGCAAAGAAGGACGTGACCCAGGCGATGCAGGTGACGGCCAAGTTCTACGGCAACGAGGCGGCCCGACTTCGCAAGGATCACAAAGAGGCGATCCAGGCAGGGCAAGAGGTCCCAGAGCTGACGCAGCTCGGCATCCCGCACCCTCACGTATGGGTCGCACTGATCGGGGCGCTAGTGGGACAGGGGGAGAGAATCGGGCAGGCCAACCTACAGAAGATCACAGGGTACCGCGACCAGCTTCACCACGAGCGCCGCAGCAACGAGACGCTCGCTCAGGAGGTGAAGCACTGCAGGCTACAGACGACGTTTGCTGGGGACAAGGTGAAATTATTTCTCGCGGTGTCGAACACGGACTTGGAACAGACGGTCGTGAACGCCCTCGTCCAACTGGGCGGTATCCACAAGCACGGGGCCCCGCCGCGGTCCCACAACGCCAGGCTGATGCAGCTCCACTTAGACGGCCTGGACGACTGAACACCAACGCTGTGGCCAGGGACGAGGACGGTGGACACTTTACTGGTGCGACTCCGACTGCCACCAACTCGAGCTTGATTGGGATTTCCTCGTCGTTGATTGGGTCACGCAGTTGTCAGAGGTTACCTCCGCGCAGCTCGATGAGGCCGCTGGGAATTTCGACACAAGCGAGGTCGATGTTTCCGACGACAGAGAGGATCCAGAGGCTATCGCCCAGAGCTGATAACTACCCCCCTGAGGCCACAGTGAGCCACTTAGCACCTGTCGCGGCGGGCAGCCGTGCCTTCCCCTCCTCCTCATCTGATGCCTCCCTCCCCCTCCGCAGCATCCTAGATATCCTGGGACTGAGACCTCGGAACCAATAGCTGTTTTCGTTTTGTTTTTGCTTTCGTCTTGGGACGGGCTGTCTCGGACCTTCGCTGGGGATGCGCCTCTAGCCTCGCGAGAGCCTGGGGGGAGTCTTTTTTCCAGGGCCCTTGCGGTCCCAGCGTCCCTAGTGGCTCCAGAGGCCCTCCCTGCGACTTTGAACAGGGGGTGTTTTACCTCAGGCGGTTCCTCCCTGCGCGCTTGCGTGCTGCTGTGCCCTCCCTCTGCTCCCTTGCTTCGCTGGCTCCTCGCTTGCCCTCCTGTGCGTGCTGGCTTGGCTTGCTGGCTGGTTTGCGTTCTTTCCTGTCCCCTCTCCGCCGCCTGGGGTTCTGGTGGTTTGAACTTTGAATTTTGTGTCCCCCGCCCCCTCGTGCCCTACACCCTACGGCCCAACCCTGCCTTTAAAGCGAGGGAACCAACCGAGGTAGGGGGGCGGGCGGGAGCCCCGTGCCACAAGGCCACGCGTGGTCCTTTTCCTTTCAGGTTTAGAGCCACGGCGCCCGCTAGAAGGGACGTCGACGACGCAATGGTCGGCCTGCCCCCGAGCTTTCTGCTCGTGGCCGAGTTCGAGGATGCCGTCGACACCCCTCTGATGCGCCTGCCGCCGCCGCCTCCTCCTCCTCCTCCTCCTGGGCGCGGATACGGACGTGTTCGCCGAGGCGGAGGAGGAGGAGGAGGAGGAAAGAAAAAGGCAGGAGGAGAGGAATATCATTGGTGGTGAGAGCAGGAGGCGAGAATGATGGAGGAGGAGGGGGGGACCTCGATGCCAACGACGTCGACGACGTCGACGGCGCCAACGTCGACGCCAACGACGACAACGGCGGTCGGCGGCGTCGGCCACGGCCCACGGCCGCGCCCCCGCAGGAGGTCGTTCGTGCGGAAGCCCACGAGCACAGCGCCCCCGCGCGGGACGCCCAAGGCCTTGGCGGCGCCGCGCAATGGGCTGCTGAGCGCGGGGCTCGGTGCGGGCTCGCGCGGGCACGCATCGAAAAACAAAACAAGCTGCAGAAACAGAAACTTGCGGTGCTCCGTGTGGATTTCTTGGATCGGCGTCTGGGGCCCAGGCGCGCTTCGCGCTCCAGGGAGGGGGAGGGGGGTCCAGCACAGATCCAAGGAATCCGCGCGGAACGCCAACAGTTTATGCTTATGTGTTTGTTTCTTCTTCTTCTTCCAATGCAGGGGATGAGTCGGAGGCCTAGAGGTTGACGCCAACATCGGTATCGGCGGTGTTCGGAGGGACGCAGACGATACACCACCACCACCCTCGGCCAGGCGCTTGCAGGGTTCTGGATCGGTGTGCGGGCCCCCTGGCCTAGGCCAGGATGGCTTCCACACGAGTCAAGGGCCCACGATTGGCCTGGCCAGGGCTGGTGGTGGTGTATTGCTTGGAGCTCTCCTAGGTGTGCCTCCGCCGAGGGAAGATGATCCCGATCTCGGCGATGTTGGTAATACTCGGGCTTCCTAGGTGGCCGCGATATGGGGCCAGGAGGGGGGCCAGGAGGGGAGCGTGGGTCGGCTCTGGGCGCGACATCTCGGTGTAGAAGGACCCGACGAACAGAGCTCCCGTGGGTTGAGGGTGCCGATGCCAGGAGGGGAGCCAGGAGGGGGGCGCGGGTCGGTTCTGGGCGCGGGATAGCAGGGTGGAGGGTCCCAGAACAAAACTTCCGTTGGTTGGGGGTGCCGAGGCCGGGGTGGGCCAGGAGGGGGGCGTGGGCCGGTTCTGTGCGCGAAATTGCAGGGTAGAGGGGTCCCAAAAACACAGCTTCCGTGGGTTGGGAGTGCAGAGGCCAGGAATGGGGGAGCGTTGGTGGTGAATGTTGGAAGTCGACCACAATTGAACAATTGAGTCGCACACGTCTCTGGGGTTGGCGGATTGTTTGACTCGTTGCCTGCTGCTCCTCATCACTTGCCCCTCGTTCTTGCCCCTGCCCCGTTTCCTTGCTGCTTCCTCATCCGCTTCATCTTCTTCATTATACCAATGCCATGCCGTCCAGCATGCAACGCGCATTTACGTTGCGAAGTGGGTCAGGGCATCGGTGGCAAAGCGTGATCAGTTATCTCCCGAGCTACTTAGAGAAAAAGGGATCACCAATACTGCCATAGATGCCCCCCAAGAGTCTCAGCAATTCTGCTAACCCTTGGTGCTTCGCGTATCCCCACCAGCGCGCTTGTGCTTGCACTCCCCTGGGCCCTGGTCCCCAAACACCGCCAAACTTGGCCGCGTCTGGCCCTTACTCCGCCCCTGGCGCTGGGCTCCGTCCTCAGCGCGGTGGAGGCGCCCGTCATCTGGCCTCCAGCTCTCTCTCTGAGAGTCTGTTCCGTGGTGCCGAGTGAGCCTGGGCGTTCAGGCCCCGCGCGCTCTGACCAGCTTGCACTTCCATTGTCTCTGATTGTCAGTTGGCCACCTGGGGTACTGGCCGCCGTGTCTTGCAGGAGTGCTTCAGCCTTCTTGCGTCGCGGCTGGACGCGCGTGGAACCCCGCACCCTGTGCGGCGGCGTTCCACATGCTAAGGCAACTTGGCATGGGGGGGGTCGATCTGGCGCGCAGTCAGAAGCGCTCGCAGTCGCGGGCCCCCTGGCTGCATCGGACCCTGTCGCCGCAGAGTCGGAGCGGGGCGCCGCCAGACCCCCGCGGCCGCGCGCCGACCCCTCTCCCGATGTCACAGAAGCTTATATGTTGTGGCGCGTCGAGCCGGGTGTATTTCGATGTTGGTTTCAATGCGACCGATTTTGTTCGCTTCGGAGGTGCCGTTGGAGGGCCCCCCCCGCCGCTGCCCAGCCTCCCAGCGCGCACCCTGGCCAGCTGTGACCGAGCGCGCCTTCTCCAGAGGGGTCGGGGGGTCCCAAACGGCGCGGGGACCACAGCGCGTAGTGAATCGGTGGGGATTCGGCCGTCGGGGTGACCGCGTGGTTTTGGGTTTCGGGTCGTTTTTCGATTAGGAGACTTGGCCAGAGCGGTGCGTGACGGACCGCACGGTGAGGTCTCGCGAGGTCACTGTACGGTCTATAACCGCGCTGTTTTGGGACCCCTGGGGGCGGCGGGGAGGGTGGCCCGTTGCGGACCCAACAATTCCGAGTTATTCCCCGCGCCCTGGCATCCGCCAGGTGTGAATATGCCTCTTCACGGCCCCAGAGGCACTGGCCGCTTCCGCAGGGCTCGTGTTTCGACTCGGGGTCCATTTTGGTGGTTTGCAGGGGGCTCGACAAAAGGCTCCAGAAGCCAGAGTTTCGTCCGATGTGCGGGGCTGGCCCGAGGAACCCGCGCGGGCCTCCGACGGTTTCTTCCCGTGCCGTTGTGCACCGCACCCGCCGGCCGCCAGCCCGGTGACTGAGGCGACGAGTGCGAAGAGCAGGAGGACGTCGG